TAATAGGGCACAGTTTATATTAGCAGCTATGCACACAGTAACTAAATGCAAATTCATCCACATATAACACATATGTGTAAATTTCCATTTGGACAACTCCTGTATGTTATCACCACATAACTCAGCAGTACTGTGAAGTTATTATTAAATAAACATGCTGAGCAAAGATGATAAAACCACACACCTAGAGACAAGTTGCTAATAGTGGAATTTTGGTATTTTACGTAGGTTCCTATATTGAGGCTTTTTCCACGAATCTTTATGCTATAGTAACCTGAAATTTCACCCTTTCTGTGTGAACAAAGAAATTCTGAAACAAAGCCTAACCAAACTGCTCCAGGGATTTTAGCATAACAACATTTAAAGACAGTTCCAGTAGATCATTACTTAAACTACTCCACCATGCTCAGGAAGAAAACCAGGCATCAAGTAGCATATAGAAGTAACAATTCTCCTCTTAAAACTTCTATGCTTTTGTTCTGAATCTTTAAAAGTAAGTAAAAATAACTTTGAATATATAAAATCAGTCCAAGCACAGTATTCAGTACATACAAAACAGTAGTATAGACAATAGGAAGTTAGACAAAATATCCACAGCAGGTGCTGGTAGTTACCATCTATTTTTTGAACCTCGTACATTACTTAGCTGTTTGCTCTCTTGCAGCCATTTTTGAAGTACCTTGAGATTCCACTGCAGCAAAGACTGATTAAAGGCACTGCTTGCAAACAGCAATTCTCCCAAGATAAACAAAGGCAGTATCAATTAATGCATATTAACCAGACTTATTTTAATAATTGAAGTATTAAACTCCACAGAATCACAGAATCACTTAGGTTGGAAAAGATCCTTAAGTCCATCAAGTCCAACCGCAAACCTAACACTGCCAAGTCCACCACTAAACCATGTCCCTGTGCCACATCTACACAGCATACATCACACTCAAACTCTTCATTACCTTGCGGCAAACATGATCCTGCTACAAATATTCAAAGATGGGAAGAAGAAAAGACGTGGACACAAAAGCGTTTACTATAGAAAGGAGTTAAAAAGGAAGGAAATATGACCAAGTTTTAATGAAAAAAAGCATACAGATTTCAAAACTCTCAACGTGAAAAAATGCTGCAGAAGATTCTTGAGTGCTGTCCTATTCTTGGTCAGACAAGAGGAGCTCTTTCTAGAACTTAAGAGCTCTCAAAAGGCAGACTGAATTTCTGCAGTAGCACTCTTGCTCTTCAGAATGTGAACACTGTAACTAGTCCTGGCCAACTCTGGGCTGAGATACTGCAGAGTCTGAAGTAGGACTTTTCTTCAGGATCACAATGAGTGCAGCGAAGATTACCAGCTTGCCCCTGTATGTTTACTGTCAGGCTGTTGAACCAAAAGAAGAATATTACCATTAAAACTTACTTATCTGCTAGTATAGCAAAATAAGTTTGGCATATAAAAGCTTTCAGAGGAAAAATTAGAATAAAATCTTCACAAAGTAAAAATAAGAAATTAAGAACTTGATGGCAAATACGGATATTTGTGAAATATATATTTCACAATATATTCAAGAATAAAATGTAAAATTGGTATTTTCTGTTTTTATACCACATAAAAAAAGGAACTACTGAACTCTTCAGGCTTTGATTGAGAAATACTTCAAAATTACATTAGTATACATTAAAATAATGTGATGTAATACGTAAGCTTCTATATAAAATGCTGGTCTGTAGTAAAACATACTGAACTGGAATGGCCTATGTGCAGATTTTATTCTATTGCTTCTGTTCCCAAGACCAAACTGCTGGCAAGAAACACCAACTGAAAACCAGAATGACCTGAACGCCTGCAGCCCAAGCCTCAAAGCCTAGATTTTATGAAGGATATTACCTCATAACTTATAAGGAACAAAGGCCGTAATACATCATAAGAATAACACTGAAGATCACAAGTATGCAGTTCTGTTTTTCTATAAAATTCAATACAATTTTGTTCTATTGGTTCTGTAGCTGTGATGATTTAAGGATGATGCAAAATAAAGTTTGCAGACAATATGTTAAGCCGTTTTATACAGGAGTAAAAGCACGGACATTCCAAAAAGGGAAGAGGAAAAGTATGAGAGACACAAGGGTTCACTATCGAGAGCAGTTAAAAAAGGAAACATGGTCAAGTCTAAGTGAAAACAAGGTAACGAGCATATACAACAAGCTGTTAACTCCTCTTCTTCAGACTGGAAATAGAAAACTTGAAAGCCAAAAAGAAGGTAGGAACAATGGCTTCCAAATGTAATAATCTCAGGAAGGTAGTTAGTACACGGAGAATACAGTCAATCTTAATAAGAGACTGTATGATTATTTTTTGAATGAAAGAAAGGTAGCGTTCGAGACATGGCCGAATAGGGTATCCCGGACTAACAGGGTGAGATTGCGGAGTGCAGAAAGTTTTGTGTAGAGTAGAGAGAGTATGTAGGAATCTATGAGAGCAGGAAGGTTACACTGATTTATGGTACATCTCCTAATCTTGGCATAAAAAAATACCTGATTGTCTGAAAGCCTGTGAACTTGTTTCCCTCATCCACTAACTGGTATCTTCTCTACCTAGAATAATTTCCATCCCTTTGTAATCATGTTGGCAAAAAGTAGCAGAAGCTCTCTGTTGTGATCTGCAGAAAGAAAATAATTATTTTTCTCCTGCTCTCAAGATCTGTGCCCTGAGCAGTCCGCATCCCAACAAATTTTTTATAAGGTAACTTCATATCATCATTAAAGCTCTGAAAAACATTACAAAAAAAATCAAGAAATACTGAGGAGAAGGCAAGCAGAGAGAGAACATTTCCAATTCCTTTGGAAGTAATTGCTGAACTGCTATTTTTGTATGGTTAGGTGAGGCAAACCCAGCAAAATGTGTGTTGGGATTTATTACAGGAGAGAGGCATTGGTGGTGCTGGAGACAGAACTTATTTTCAAAGAATCGCTTTTAGAATGATCAAATATCCTTTATATTACTTCACAGTATAGATTTTTCCATAATGTACATATATAAGAGAAGTATAATATACACAGCCTCACCATGTTAGCCCAGAATTCCGTGTTTAAGTTATGGCATTTAAATTGTGGGTTTTTTTTTAATGTCTAAAAAAGAAAAAACTCCATACAAATTCAAAATACTACTACAACTAGTAACTTCTTAGGAAAACAAGAAGAAAAAAAGATGAGAACATCATATTAATACTAGAATACATCTTTAAAAACTAACAAATATTTGGCTTACATTTATATTTTTTGTTCTTAGTATCAGGAACCACTATTTAAATTAAGCTCCTCTTAGGAAACAAAAAAAAGTATTTGGTAAAAACATCCTGCTACTGAATTCCTGCATATTGCAAAAGAATACTGATGATTCATTAACTAATC